TACAATGTTGGCGCAAGTGGGCCGACTGGCACCACTGTTGTGTAAGTCTTGTGACCAGACTGGTTTCCGAAATGCTACCGTATTTTCGTTTCTGATTGCGTTCCATGTGTTTTTCCCCTTGTCAATTTGCTTTCCGTTGGCGGGTTGGTTTATTTAACGTTTGTTGGTTCCGTGTATGAGCTGCGGGCGCCGTCCCGTCTGGGCCGTCTCAGCCACAGGAGGTGTTCGCCGAGATGGCGGGGTTAGCGTGCCCGCGCCTGGCGCGCTAAACCGCCAGCTGAGCGCAAATTGCAAGGGGCTGTGATGGCCCAGGCGGGACGGCGTCCATTGGAAAAACACGGAAAAACCAGGCGATGTACGGAACACTATAGAACAAATAGAGCTTCACACGGAACCAAAAAACAGAAACAAACCAACAGTGACATGGGAAACACAATGACAGAAACCAATCCGATGGGACACTGTTCTGTTTTCCATTTGTGCGTTCCACTCGTTTCCCCCCCTTGTATTTTTGTTTCCCCGTGTTTGGCTTGGTTTGTTTTCCGTTATTTACATTCGTGTTTGGGTTGTCCTTTTTTGCGTCCGTGGGCGCCGTCCCGTCTGGGCCGTCTCAGCCCCGGGAGGTGTTCGCCGAGTTGGCGGGGTGAGCGCGCCCGCGCCTGGCACGCTAACCGTCCAACTCGGCGCAAATTGCCCAGGGCTGAGACGGCCCGGGCGATATGGGCGTCCACGAGAAAAAACAATTAAAATGACAAGCGAGAAACGGAAAGCGATAACAGAAACGAACACCACAACCTCGACACGGAAACAACACACAGAAAATTCACCAACCCAGACACGGATAACAAAGCATCGACAGAAAACAATTCGATTGGACACAGTTTTGTGTTCCATTTGTGTGTTCTATTTGTTGGCTTCTGTTGCTATTTACCAGTGTATTTGTTTTCCGTGTCTGCGTTGGATTATTTTTCGTTTGTTGTTTCCATGTTTGGGTTGTGGGCGCCGTCCCGTCTGGGCCGTCTCGGCCCCAGGAGGTGCTCGCCGAGCTGGCGGGGTTAGCGTGCCCTCGCTGGCACGCCTCCAGCTCGGCGCAAATTGCCCGAGGACAGCGCCCACGAGAAAATCTCAGAAAAGCCAAGCGAGAAACGGAAAGCCATCACAAACATATAACCGGACACAGAAACAACACGGACAGCCAATCAACCCATACACGGAAAATAAAGCATTGACCGGAACCAATTTGATTGGACACCGTTTTGTTGTCGATTTGTGTTGGCTCGTAGGTTCCACTGGCGTGGCACGAAGCCATGGCGCGCTATTTTCCCACCCTCGCCTCCTCATCTCCGTCCTCCTCTTCATTTTGGTTCAAGCCTCGTTGCGCTGTCTCCCGAGATCGCTCCTTCTCATCATGCTGTTTCAAACCTCGTTTGACAGTCCGCCGAGTTCAATCAATTCCCTCCTCCTGCTCTCGTTCTCCTCTTTCTTCTTCAGGCCTTTCACCCGTAGGTAAGGCCGCCCTTTGCTGGACGTCCCAGGGGCTCATGAGAGCGGCGAAAGTTAAGCAGTTGGCAACCGCCAGGGAGTGGAATTCCAGCTTGGGTCTCTGTAAGGCGACTCTCCGCTGGACTTCCCAGGAGCCCGCTTAAATAGCTAAAGGTGCGCAGTTGGCAGCCCCCAGGAAGGGAAGGCCCTGCTTGGATCTTTGTCAGGCCGCTCTCCGCTGGACGTCCCAGGAGCCCACGAAAGTGAAGAAAGTTGCGGAGGTGCAGACCCTCAGGGAGGGGAGGTCCAGTTTGGATGCTCGCATACACGCCGTCCGCCGCTGGACCTCCCAGGAGCTCACGAAACTGGCAGCAGATGTGCATTTGGCAGCCCCCAGGGAGTCAAACTCCAATCTGGCCGCTCTGGTCGTAATGAGGCTGCTAACCCGGGTTGCTAACCCCGCGGGCGACCGGTCAGACAGGCACCCATCTTGAAGCAAAGCGACGCGGCACGCTATCCCCGAAACCGAAACGCACGCTATCCGCACATGTATCGTCAAAACACGCTCACAATACAATGTAAATTTACATCAGAATCTTGTATGTTTTTGGCTTTAGGGGATAGCGTGCGATTCGGAGATCAATGTAGCACGCTATATTTCCGCCCCCAACCGTATAGGGAGATCTTCGACGAAAAATAAACAATACCCCAAAACTGCTAGCACTCAACAAAAATAGTCCCCAGACTATTGTTCTGACCATATTTGAAGATTCCCCCTGTAGAGGGGCAGGCCCGACTTAACCCCACAGGTGGGGGATATGATTAGCCGCGGTGGACGACGCGCTCGTGGAGGACGCCGTCGCGGAGGAAGTCGCGCACGTTCTGTGGGCGTCCCAGGGGCCGTGACAAAACGCTCGCGGGAGACGCCTGGGCGAAGGAGCCCGAGGCCGGTGCAGAAGATGCAGTCGCAGACGGGCGCCGAGGAACTGCGCGAGGGCGGCGAAGCTGGGGCTCGCCACGCTCTCCTCGCGCGGCCCGGGCGCAGCGCCGCCGAGGTGCAGACGACCGGGCGGCCCCCACAGGGACGCGCTGCAGGCCTGGGCGGCGCGGGCGCCCGCGAAGGCCCGGCGCGCCCGCGGGGGGCCCCCGGGGAGGGCCCGCAAGGTGGCCATGCGCCCGACGGGCAGGGCGCGCAGGCGGCCTCGGGCGCCTCGGGGGCCTCGGGGGCGCCTCGAGGCCCCATAAGGTGCCCGCGGGAGAGGCCGCGGAAGCCTGGGCCAACGCGGCCGCGGAGGAGGCGGAAGGGGGCCCAGATGAGCAGGTCCTGTACTGGCAGCAGTCACGGGCGTTATTGGGGGGAGGGGGAGGGCGACGGGGGGGCGGGAGAACGCAAGGCCCCCCCCCCACCGTGTGCGTCCGACACCCGAGACTGTGGTGCCGGACGCACTGCGGCCATGCTGGGGACGCAATGGGGGGGGAAAGGGAGCGTTACGTCATGGGGGGGAAGGCGGCGGGAGGGGAGAGGGCATGACACGCGCTTTGGCCCAGAGGAAAAAAAAGCACTCTCCAGATGTTCGATGAACTAAACAACTGCGTGAGCTACATGAATCTACACTTTCGTAGCTCCGCGCGGATATCTTGGATCGGCGCTGGAGCCCTGGTGGCGCCTCCAGCGTCGCCCCTGGCACGCTCCGCGCGCCAGGGAGAGGGGTCCAGCGCCGATCCAAGAAATGAGAGCGGACCTCCGACAATCTATATCCATGCTATTTGATGTTCGTCTCATGATGGGCCCAGGCAGACCAATGTGGCGTCCAAGACCGCAAATGATTGCCCAGGGTCGCCCCTGGGGACGCGCGGGAAGAAGGGGCAACGAGGCGAGAAAGGGGCACGGCGCGAATCAAGTTGAGAAGTCCTCCTTTCATCGCTCCTCCCCTGCGTGGAGGGGGAGGAGGGCGAAGAGAGGAGAAGAGAGAGGCAGGAGGAGAGAAGGCGGAAGAACATCCACAGCCCAGGGAAAGAGCCAACTGGCACCCGTGAACACTCCGCCGAGCCAACGCAAGTCTGCAAGGACCTTCCAGCATTTCTGGCTATGCTTAAGTCGGGCCTGTCCCTCTACAGGGGGACTCTTCCTAGGGGGGCACGCCCGACTTGAGGCTGTGCCGTCTGTGATCCTTCGTTTCTGCTGCTCTCCTCGGCGAGCCCCTGACCCTCTCGCGCTGCGCTGCCGCGGCCGGCCGCTGCCTCCAGCCATGCGCCGTGCGGCGCCTCGATTTCTGCCCCCGTGCGGGCCCCCCAGAGGTCCCGGCACTCTCTCCCCAGGACGAGGTCGGGCGTGTCCTCCTCCACGCGGATTTCGGAGGGAAGCTCAAAAAGATAGCCACACCATCTCCAAACATCGTGGGAAAAAGAATCGCGACATCGTCCCCCGACTAGTTCTGTTTCCTACGTTGAATTTTCCTCCTGCAGAGGGACGTGCCCGACTTCACCCCAGGGGCCAGCTTTTCACGAGCTGCTGCCTCACGGCCCCCTGGGACCGCCGAGGGCCACCTCGGCGGGCAGGAGACGGCCAACAACACCTCCCGTCGTGATTTGTTGCGGCGATGCGAACATGCCTGGGCTGGGGCCCGGCCGCCGCTGCCGGCGCTGAGTCGGCGCTGGGGTCTCAAACTCGAGTCTCCGGCGGCCGTTCGGGTCGATCTGGACTGAAGGGGCCTTGGGAGACACACACATAAACATACACAACTGACGCGAGTCCCCATACTTTCCCATATGTTCTGGGCTGCTGGACCGATTCCCCAGACCCCCAGCGACATGACTTTCCAGAACCTCGACCCCCAGAGGCCTCGACCAGATCCCTGGGACCGACTTCTCATGCAGCAGGAGCTCGACCACCAAACACCTTCCACAAGAGACCCAACTCTGAGACCCCAGGGCGTCCATTGAGTTTTGTGTGGGGACGTCACGCTCTTCCCATCGCAAAACCATCGACACCCCAGAAACCCAGGGCACCCTGGAGGCGAGCAGGGTGTCTCTTGGCATCGGTTTCAGCTGCAGGGCCCTTTCCGGGGCCGAGCATAGCTGCAGGCCTCCCGCCGTGCCCTCTCCGCCACGGCGCGCCGAGGTCTCCCTGGGCAGCCCGCCTCCTCTCACGACCCGACGGGCTCCGGGGCCCCGCGGCCGGAGAACCCCGCGAGCCACCGACGACCACCGCCTCGGCCCGGACCGACGAAGACCGCCTCGGCGCCGCTGGCCTCAGCTCAGGGCCGACGACCACCGGCGAGGACAGACGAAAACCCGGCGAGGATCAGGTCGGGCGTGTCCCCTTACGGGCGGCTTTTGGGTGAAAAATCAGAACATGTTTCAAACATGCCAAAATATTGCCAAAGAAATGCCGGAAAATTCGCCCCCAGACTAATTTTCTACTATTTTCAAATATTCCTCCCGTAGAAGGACAGCCCCGACTTAAGGCGAGGACCGACGCACACCGCCCAGGTCCACGGGGGGGGCGCGCCGCGCGCCTCGACTCGCACGGGGTTCTCCCAGAGCTCCTCCCGCAGCGCCGCGGCCAGGCCCCACACGCTGTGCACGTTGACCTGGTCGATGGCCAGCCGCCTGCCGTCGGGGTCGTCGTCGTCGGGATCGTCGTCGTCGTCGTCGTCGTCGTCGTCGTCGTCGTCGTCGTCGTCGTCATCGACGTAGTCTTCGTCGGTGGGGTCGTCGGGGTCGTCGTCGGAGTCGTCGGGGTCGTCAGGGTCGTCGTCGGGGTCGTCAGGGTCGTCGTCGGGGTCGTCGGTGTCGCCGTCGTCGTCGGCGTCGTCCGTCGTCGTCGATGTCGTCGTCGTCGTCGTCAACTTGTCGTCGTCATCGTGGTCGTGGTGGTCGTCGTCGGGGTCGTCGTCGTCATTTTGTTGGGACCGTCGAGGTCGTCGTCTCGGTCTGCGTCGTCGTCGTCATTGAGGCCGTCGTGGTCGCAGAAGAAGGACAGGGGGAAGGACGAAAAGGGAGAAGGAGGAAGAGGAAGAGGAGGAGGAGGAGGAGGAGGAGGAGGAGGGGCAGAATAGAAGAAAGGGATAATGGGGGAGATGTTGGAGAGAAGAAAGACTGGGGAGGGGAAGCGACAGCGACGAGGTGGAGGAGCAGGAGGTAGCGCACAACGACACTGCCGTGGTGTGGTTGCATGAAACAGATGACAGGGATTCTGGCGTGCGCCAGGTCCTCCTGCCCCACCCTTCTCAGCCTTCCACCCTCCCTCCACCTCCCTCATCGACAGCCTGCCCACCCCTCTCAGCCTTCCACACTAATCGTGCGCCTCCTCCCTCCCCCTCCTCCGCCCTTCTCCGCCTCCCCCTCCCCTCCTCCTCCTCCTCCTCCTCCTCCTCCTCCTCCTCCTCCTCCTCCTCCTCCTCCTCCTCCTCCTCCCGTGCAGCCCATGCGGGCCACCGTTTCTCGCTGCCGCTGCCAATCCCTGTCCTCCTCATCCCCCCCCCCCATCCGAGTGCCGTCTTCCCCCCTCCCTACCGTACGTCCTGCTTCGTGGCGTTGAGGTCCAGAAAATGCTATTTCGGCACGCTTCAGGATCTCTACAAGACGGCTGTCTCTCTCAACGGGGCACTTCCCTCCGTGGAAAGGAACCCTTGTATGGGGCCTGTGAAGAGGAAGCTTGTGGGGAGGGTTTAATCCACCATCGTTGGCGACTCTTGGGTTTCCACTGGTCCTCCTCCTCCTCCTCCTCCTCATACTGCCTCTTCTTATTTTTATCCTCCTGCCTCTTATCCTCCTCCTCCTCCTCCTCCTGCCTCTTCTCCTCCTCCTCCTCTTCCTCCTCCTCCTCTTCCTCATCCTCCTCCTGGGGGGAGGGGTGATTCCAACAGATGTGTTCCTTCTCCGTGTCCCGCTCCTTCCCCGCCCCATCCTTTTCGCCCCACTTCCCCCTCCACCTCTCGATCATCTCATCGCGCGCTCCGCGCACCGTCTTCTGCAAAACGTGCCGAGGGGGAGGAGGAGGAGGAGGAGGAGGAGGAGGAGGAGGAGGAGGAGGAGGAGGAGGAGGGTGAGGAGGAGGAGGAGGAGGGCAACGATCGAGTGGCATAATTGCACATCGGTTCTTTCGAGTAACTGTACATATTAAACGCATACTGAGATGTAGGCAGGGGCAGTGAGACAAAGAAAGAGAGAGAGATCGAACATGTAGAAAGAGATAGTGAACAGCAAGAGAGAGAGGGAGAGAGAGAGAGAGAGAGAGAGAGAGAGAGAGAGAGAAAATTAGCCTGGCGAAGGACCCAACCATATGCAACTGTGAATACCGCAAGTGTGAATATCGTTTTCGGCGGCGCTACCTCTGGGTAGTGGAGACGCATGCGAACACCCCCACTGGGGCCTTCGGTGGAGCTCCCTCTGGGGCTACGAAACGCTGCCCTGGGTGGGGGAACCGCATGCAGGCAGCCCCACTGGGGCCTTCGGTGGAGCTCCCTGTGGGGCTACGAAACGCTGCCCTGGGTGGGGGAACCGCATGCGGGCACCCCCACTGGGGCCTACGGTGGAGCTCCCTCTGGGGCTACGAAACGCTGCCCTGGGTGGGGGAACCGCATGTGGACACCCCCACTGGGGCCTTCGGTGGAGCTCCCTATGGGGCTACGAAACGCTGCCCTGGGTGGGGGAACCGCATGTGGACACCCCCACTGGGGCCTTCGGTGGAGCTCCCTATGGGGCTACGAAACGCTGCCCTGGGTGGGGGAACCGCATGTGGACACCCCCACTGGGGCCTTCGGTGGAGCTCCCTATGGGGCCACGAAACGCTGCCCTGGGTGGGGGAACCGCATGTGGACACCCCCACTGGGGCCTTCGGTGGAGCTCCCTATGGGGCTACGAAACGCTGCCCTGGGTGGGGGAACCGCAGACACCCCCACTGGGGCCTTCGGTGGAGCTCCCTATGGGGCTACGAAACGCTGCCCTGGGTGGGGGAACCGCATGCGGACACCCCCACTGGGGCCTTCGGTGGAGCTCCCTATGGGGCCACGAAACGCTGCCCTGGGTGGGGGAACCGCATGTGGACACCCCCACTGGGGCCTTCGGTGGAGCTCCCTATGGGGCTACGAAACGCTGCCCTGGGTGGGGGAACCGCATGTGGACACCCCCACTGGGGCCTTCGGTGGAGCTCCCTCTGGGGCCACGAAACGCTGCCCTGGGTGGGGGAACCGCATGCGGACACCCCCACTGGGGCCTTCGGTGGAGCTCCCTCTGGGGCTACGAAACGCTGCCCTGGGTGGGGGAACCGCATGTGGACACCCCCACTGGGGCCTTCGGTGGAGCTCCCTCTGGGGCTACGAAACGCTGCCCTGGGTGGGGGAACCGCATGTGGACACCCCCACTGGGGCCTTCGGTGGAGCTCCCTATGGGGCCACGAAACGCTGCCCTGGGTGGGGGAACCGCATGTGGACACCCCCACTGGGGCCTTCGGTGGAGCTCCCTATGGGGCTACGAAACGCTGCCCTGGGTGGGGGAACCGCATGTGGACACCCCCACTGGGGCCTTCGGTGGAGCTCCCTCTGGGGCGGCCACGAAACGCTGCCCTGGGTGGGGGAACCGCATGTGGACACCCCCACTGGGGCCTTCGGTGGAGCTCCCTATGGGGCTACGAAACGCTGCCCTGGGTGGGGGAACCGCATGTGGACACCCCCACTGGGGCCTTCGGTGGAGCTCCCTATGGGGCTACGAAACGCTGCCCTGGGTGGGGGAACCGCATGTGGACACCCCCACTGGGGCCTTCGGTGGAGCTCCCTATGGGGCTACGAAACGCTGCCCTGGGTGGGGGAACCGCATGTGGACACCCCCACTGGGGCCTTCGGTGGAGCTCCCTCTGGGGCCACGAAACGCTGCCCTGGGTGGGGGAACCGCATGTGGACACCCCCACTGGGGCCTTCGGTGGAGCTCCCTATGGGGCCACGAAACGCTGCCCTGGGTGGGGGAACCGCATGTGGACACCCCCACTGGGGCCTTCGGTGGAGCTCCCTATGGGGCTACGAAACGCTGCCCTGGGTGGGGGAACCGCATGCGAACACCCCCACTGGGGCCTTCGGTGGAGCTCCCTATGGGGCCACGAAACGCTGCCCTGGGTGGGGGAACCGCATGTGGACACCCCCACTGGGGCCTTCGGTGGAGCTCCCTAAGGGGCCACGAACGCGCGCAGAGGTGATTCAAGAACGAGACTCCACACCACGAGGATGGTTGAGGAAAAAGAGAGAGAGAGAGAGAGAGAGAGAGAGAGAGAGAGAGAGAGAGGACGCATGCACCTCTGCGAATGCCCGCCATTCACGAACGTGTAGCTGGCTCCGGGCACCTGGCAGTTTCGCCCACCAGGCGTTCTTCGTCCTTCTCCCATTCCTCCACACCTTCCTCCTCTCACTCCCCATTGTTTCCCCTCCTGATTTTCACATAACGTCTTCCCTACCCCCCTCCTGTTCCTCCTCCTCCTCCTCTTCCACGTCGTACTCCTCCTTGGCCTCCTCCTTCTCCTCATTATCTCGCTCATCATCCTCTTCCTCGACTTCCGCTTCATCCATTACCACCCTGCTCATTATCGATCTCTCCCCCCTGCCCCCTTCTCATTCTCGATCCCCTCCGCATCATCATCAATCTCCGCCTCCGTCTCCTCCCCATTTCCCGACGTTGTGCCTTTCCCCATCTCATATTCATCGGAAGCGATGGGTGGCACGGCTCAGCATTTCGCGCGCTCCATACTCTGTCCACCCATGTCGGCTGCTCATGGATATGATCATGGCGTGGCCGTCTGGTCATGCATTCCCTGATTCCTCTCCTGGCATTTCTGGCCGTCCTCCCTCTTCTTCTCCACAACCTCCTCCTCCTCCTCCTCCTCCTCCTCCTCTTCCTCCTCCTCCTCCTCCTCTCCTCCTCCTCCTCCTCCTCCTCCTCCTCCGTTTCCTCCTTCTCCTCCTCCTGCCCCCCGTTCCTCCCACATCCTCAAGCTTGTCGTCGTCATCGTCCTCGTCCTCTTTCTCCTCCTCCGCCAATCAAACCAATCGGAAACGTTAGAAGCATCAGTTTGCACGGCATGGTTGGTTGAGTGCGGCGTACCCTCTGCACCCATGTCTCCTGCTAAAGCGCTCCTGCTCCTGCTTCTGATCATGTCGCTGCTACTCCTCCTACTCCTCCTCACCCAAGTCCATCGGGATTTACAACTCCTATAACTGCTCATCCCGCCCACCTCCTCCAACTCCTCTTCCTTTTCATCCCTCTTGCCCTCCCGGAGAGCCTCTTTTCATCCCTTCTCCTCCTCCTCCTCCTCCTCCTCCTCCTCCTCCTCCTCCTCCCCCTCCTCCTCCTCCTCCTCCTCCTCCTCCTCCTCCTCCTCCTCCTCCGCAACTGTGCGATTCTTGCTCCTGCTCATTCCCCGATCCTCGCCTCGAATGGACCTGAAAAAACGGCACCACCCCACCTACGTCTCTCCACGGGGCTTAGCATATACCAGGAGATCTGGCGTGGGCTTTTGCGTGGTACACGCTACGGCCCACGATTGGGTCCGTAGCGCAACATGGAGGGCCGTAGGTGGAGTGGTGTCGTTTGTTTGTTGCTCGACCGGAACCTCGGACCTCGAGCCTCGAACACGAAACTTCCCCAGTGCGTCCGAAGCCCCCTGCCGCCGTCAGGGCCCCCTCCTCCTCCACCCTCCTCCTCCTCCTCCTCCTCCTCCTCCTCCTCCTCCTCCTCCTCCTCATCCACCCTCCACCCACCTCCTCCTCCTCCTCCTCCTCCTCCTCCTCCTCCTCCTCCTCCTCCCTCCTCCTCCTCCCTCCTCCTCCTCCTCCTCCTCCTCCTCCTCCTCCTCCCTCCTCCTCCTCCTCCTCCTCCTCAACCCTCCTCCTGCTCCTCCTCCTCCTCCTCCACCCTCCTCCTCCACCCTCCTCCTCCTCCTCCTCCTCCTCCTCCTCCTCCTCCTCCTCCTCATCATCATCATCATCATCAACAACAACAACATCATCATGAGCGTCATCAGCATCAGCATCAGCAGCAGCAGCCTCACCCTCACCCTCATCACCATCAGCATCAGCATCAGCATCAGCATCAGCATCAGCATCACCATCAACATCATCAGCATCAGCATCAGCATCAGCATCGGCATCATCATCATCATCATCATCATCATCATCATCATCATCATCATCATCATCATCATCATCATCATCATCATCATCATCCTCATCCTCATCCTCATCATCATCATCATCATCATCATCATCATCATCATCATCATCATCATCATCATCGTCGTCGTCATCATCCTGATCCTCATCCTTATCCACATCCTGATCCTGATCCTCCTCTGGGGGGGCGCCTTCTGCAGGTGAGGCACCAGGGCCGCTGCGGCCGCGTGGTGCATGCAGGCCAGCCGGGAGGAGTGGCACATGAAGGTCCTCTCTGGGCGCGCTCCGAGGGCCAGAATCGAGGATCGGGGCGAGGGGCAACGATGGAGGGAGGAGGGGGAGGAGGGGGAGGAGGAGGAAGAGGATGAGGAGGAGGAGGAGGAGGAGGGGGAAACGGAGGAGGAGGAGAAAGAGGAGGAAGAGGAGGAGGAGGAGGAGCAGAAGAGACAGGAGGAGGACCAGTGTAAAACCAAGAGTCATCAACGATGCTGGAATAAACCCTCCCTCTTAGCTCCCTCTTCAAAGGCCCCAACAATGGTTCATTTCCACTGAGGAAACTGCCTCGTCTGAAGACATCCGTTTGAAGACCATGAAGCATACCGAACCATTGTTCTCGGGATTCCAACGCCACGGATCAACCTGACAGCGTCTATCGCCCCAGAACTCCGTTCCTAAGATTCCAACACAGTGAATCAACGAAACTGTTGCGCACTCATAATCCTCAATCCTTCGAGCACGCACAATTCTTGGTACGCGGGTCATGGGAATCCGTGACACTCTTGCAAGTTTTTTAACGAACGTACGCGGCGCTAGGGCGAGAGCCACATTTTGAAAACGGGCCGCCCTCCATCTGTGAACCCGTTGTCAAAGTATAAGCTTCAGTACCATACATGGTGAAGAAGTCTCGAACGAAACACTTGGCCCGAAAACTTGCTTCGGGGTGCGACACGGAAAATCATGTATAAGGAAAAGGAGCGGAGGAGGAGCATAAAGACCAGTGCAAACCCAACGATGTTGAGATTAACCCTCCCTTCAGCCTCCCTCTTCATAAGCCCCTAGAGCGGTTCATTTCCATTGAGGGAACTGCCTCGTTGGAAGAAGACCGTGTGAAGACCTTAGAGTATGCCAAAACCACGGCTCCCGGGATTTCAACGCCACTGATCTTGACCATCTTGAATATTGCCAGAACGCTTTTTCGGGGATTTCAACACCTGAATCCTTCCAACACGCCATTTCTGGCACGCTGATCCTGGGAATCCGTGAAACCCTTGCAAGTGTTGAAAACGAATGCGCGCGGCGCTAAGGCGAGACCCACACTTTGGAAAAGAACCGCCCTCAATCCGTCAAACCTTTGCACATGTTTGAAAAGGATGTGCGCGGCGCCGAGAAAATAACCAACATTTGAAAACAACCCGCCCGCAATCCGTAAAACTTTTGCAACTGTTGAAAACGAATGTGCGCGGCGCTGACGCGAGAGCCACATTTGGAAAACCAACTGCCCTTGATCCGTGAAGCTCTTGCAAAGTTTGAGACCAAAGGTGCGCGGCTCGAAGTCGAGAACCACAGTTTGAAAACGATCCGCCCTCAATCCGTGAAGCGCTTGCACATGTTTAAAATGGATGTGCGCGGCTCCAAAACGAGAACCAACATTTGAAAACCACCCGCCCGAAACCCGTAACACTTTTGCAAATGTTGAAAACGAATGTGCGCGGCGCTGACGCGAGAGCCACGTTTTGAAAACCACCTGCCCTTAATGCGTGAAGCTCTTGCAAAGTTTGAGACCAAAGGTGCGCGGCTCGAAGTCGAGAACCACAATTTGAAAACGATCCGCCCTCAATCCGTGAAGCGCTTGCACATGTGTAAGCTGGATGCGCGCGGCGCCAAAACGAGAACCAACATTTGAAAACCACCCGCCCGAAATCCGTAACACTTTTGCAAATGTTGAAATCAATGTGCGCGGCGCTAAGGCGAGAGCCACATGTTGAAAACCACCCGCCCTCCATCTGTGAAACTGATTCCACTTTTTGAAGCGTCAGAGTCATACATGGTGAGTAATTCTCAGGCGAAACGCCTGGCCAGCTCCAAAAACTGGCCCCGGGTGCGGCAGGACGACATTATTCATTAGGAAAAGGAACTGAGGAGGAGGAGGAGGAGGAGGAGGAGGAGGAGGAGGAGGAGGAGGGCCAGGGGGAGAGCGTTCACCAAGTGGTGGGGGGGGGGGGGGCAACGATAGAAGGGATAAGCATGGGGGGGCACATCGACCAGGAATCTAAGAGACGTTGCCGACAGATCTGCGAAGTGGGCCGCACGTTCCTTGGCAGCCTGGGGCCATCGGGTCCCTATCGGCGATATAAGGACGATCGGGAGTCGATGCCTCCCCCCATCTGCCAATCCCCGCCGATCGTCGCCCCCGCAGGGGCGAATATTCGAGTTGGGGAACGACTGCAAAAATTAATTACCCTGACCTTTGCCGGTGCGCCAGATTTGCGAACACAGACGTATAACATCAGTAAAACGACGAGCAGTCCACATATGCTCAGGTGTTCAACCAATAAATCAAATTTGGAGCAACTCGATGATGAAGTCGATCTTCTATTCAATGTTTAGCTCATTACACGTTATCCCTCTGGGCGTCTCGCCGAAGACATATGGACCGTCGGCGCCCCTGTATATCTATGTACAGCTCTCCCCTGGGCTATTCGCCTCTGTTGCCTCCTCCTCCTCCTCCTCCTCCTCTTCCGCCTCCTCCTTCTCCTCCTCCTCCTTCTCCTCCTCCTCCGCCCTCCTTTCCCTCCTCTTCCTCCTCCTCCAGTTCCAGCTCCTCCTCCTCCTCGTCCTCCTCCTCCCCCCTCCGCCTCCTTCTCCTCCTCCTCCTCCTCGTCCTCCTCCTCCTCCTCCTCCTCGTTGTCCTCCTCCTCCTCCGAGAGGAGCGGCTGGAGCGGCTGTCGGGAGAGGCTGAGTCCAGACAGAGAGGGCCCAGACGGAGGCCACGCACTCCATGCGGACCTACACCGCACGGACTTCGCATCCTGTCAAGAGAAGACAGAAATCCTGACGGAGCAAGCCTATATGGGACGCACAGAGACATACTAGTACTGCACGTTCTCCTTGGATGCACACGTCCGACCCGAACATATAGTACACCCATCTTGTAGTAGATCGTTTCCCGAGCGGTGTGGCCAGAAAGCGCCCGCCACGACGCATGTACTATAAGATTTCTTGGTGCGCGCGTCGCCCCTGGGGGGCGACGCACATGTAGTGTAAGTATGTTGGGGTGACGCCGACTATACGGAGACGGAGCACTCCGTAGGGACCTACTCCGTATGGGCTCAGTACCCTCCGAGGCTGACGGGCAAGCACGAAATCCTGCACCACCCGCGCGACATGGGGGCTGGCGCAGACTTCCATGCGGCCGCCTGCCCCCCGATCCGATGCTGGTCGGCATCGTCAGCGCGGCGCAGGCGCTCGGCCAGGCGACGCGTCGCGACGCGTCGCGGCGCGGCCCGCCAAGATCGAAACGGGGGCGCGGGGGGTGTTTTCAACAGGACCTCGTGACAACTCCCGCTACGGGTGCACTGCAGGGCTCACGCCAACCCAGCAGCGTGCACATCACAGCCTGGCTGACCTTCCCGTGAGGTTAGGCTGTGCGATTGTGGACTCGATCTGAGAAATCCGCATCAAAAGGCGCAGGACTTTGCCATCCACCGAAAGGGGGGACAGGAAGCGGCACCCACCTCCGACTGGGGGCCGCTTTTTTGGGGGGCCCCGGGGGCCATCGACCTCCGGGGAAGCGGTCGGGGGACCTCTGGGGCCACGGATAGGAAAAATCATCATGGGCAGATTTTGTACCACCACCACCACCACCACCATATGTAGGAGGGGAAGGAGGAGGAGGAGAAGAAGGAAGAGGACCTCCCCTCCTCCCCCTCCTCCCTTCTCCCCCGTCCTGGCTATTGTAGTGGCGGTGGTGAAAAATTGGCTCCTCAAATAAAGCTGGCGGATGAGAGTCATAGCGAAGCTGGCCCAGTGCAGTGCAGTGCAGTGCAATGAGTCGCGTCGCCCATGTGATATGCTTCGCGCGTTGTTGTCCGCCGTAGCCGCTTGGGCACACGCCTTGCTGTGAACATTGTGTCGGCGTGCCACGGAGCCGTGGCCGCAGCAGTCCGTACTCCAAAAGTTCCAGCTCCGACGGAGGGTGATTTGTTCTTCCCTCTGGCAGTCAACGGTGCGTCGCAACTTGGAAAACACGTCTCACTCGTCAGCAGGTGGGGAACCAGGGGCCGGAACCACAGTTATCAATTGTGCTGACAGTCTGGTAGGTGGACTTTCTCATCGATAGGTCGAAAGGCGAGCTTTAGGAGGAGCCAAAGGGTGCGCTGGCTTTGCACCGCCTTGTGTATCCATGTTGCCTTCTTTCGTTGTTTCGTCGTATTCGCGCATTGGCTTTTTGGGAGTGGCTTGGCCCATGCATGTCTGCCATCAACACTCCCTTGAGATCATTTTGTGAGCGCCACGTTGCAGATGCTGAGCTGCACAACTGCTCTGCCCAGGCACGCTCAGCAGGCGAATTGTGGACATCAGTGCGCATTCGCATCATTGCCACGCTAGCTGAATTGGGCGTGCCGGCCGAAATCGGGACTTTATCCTGGATGTAGCGTGAACGTGATCACGACACGGGCAGGCTTTTGCAAAGCATGTATTCCGCAATTATGTGGGTAGTCATGTCGAGTACAAAACTGTTCACAGCAGAATTTGTACCAACAAATTCTCGCTGCCCTCACCCGTGTTCGGCATGAACGGCCACGCTTGGTTCACAAACATTGCCGCACACACACACACACACACACACACTGGTCGTTGCCTTTGCGAATTCGCGGCGTATCCTGAAGCTTCGTGGGGATTGGTTGCAGGTTGGCCGGTGCGCATCCGCAGCTTTGAGATTGTCATCGGGGCTGGATGGCCCCCACTTGGCAGCATTGCTGTGCCGCCTTCGCCAATACGACCCGCTGCACGCGCGGGCGGTTCATGAATTCTGCTTGGTCCAACAGTCAGCGGTTAGCTCGCTTCAGGCAGTACGAACTCAATTGGATAAGCGAAATTAGCAGGACCATGTGGGAAGTCTGGGGCTTGCGTGCGCTTCGTGCAACATCAACGTGATGCCCGGAATATCTTATCTGGGAGTCTCGCGTCTTTTTCGGAGTATGTACTGCCGGTGCAAAGTATTATCTCGCGGAGGCCCTTGGCTCTACGCATTGTTCCTCGACCTTGCCCCCTCTGGGCATGCGGTGCTACATCAGACAGCGCGGATACATTTATGTAAACCTGAGGCGAATGGCACTTCATGTCCAGATGCAGCGAATCATCCCTTGCGACGGCTGCAATGCGTCCGCCGCCCCCTGGCCAATCTGACGTGCTACGACCCCGGCAGTGTGCGAGCTGCGCAGGACGACGGCTGCGTAGAGAGACTTGCTGCACAGGAGAAGTGACCGCTGCTCGTGTGCCCGATGTTCGCCTCCGCCGTTTGCCCATCATGGCGGTTGTTCGGCTGCAGTGTGGGTGGCTCGCTGCAAAGAGAACACATGGAAACAATCACCGCTGTACAGCGACGCTCATCTGCTGACGCGTGCTGGCATTACTCGTGCGCGCGTTTGCGGGAGAGCGCATGCCGGGGCCCGTTTCGATTTGCGTGCAGGGGGCTGCTTGGGTGTTGACAAGGCACGCTGCACAAGCAGAATAATGCTTTGATTGGGATGTGTTTTTGAATCTGGGACGGAAGAAGTCCAGACTACCTGTATCACATATTGCATATGTTGCGTTTCGTGCCGCATAGACATGACATGCTCACGGTCCGCAGGCCAATTGTTGGGCTCTTGCGGGTGCACGGGCTGCCTGCACCAGGTACGCGTGTGCTCGCAGTGCGCCACGCGGCCTTCAGCGATGCTGTCCGTCGATGGTGGTGTTGCGCGTGCCGGTCAGCGGCGCAGTCTGCGCCTATGATGGCCGCGCATCTCCGACGAAACGCCCAGGTCGCACTTGTCTCCCCGACGGCACGGCGCTCACAGCTCATGGAAGTGCAGGCCCGTCTGGCAGGATTCCGTTCGGTATGCGGAGCTCGATGGAGCACGCTCTGTCCAAGACCGTGCTCCCGCTGCCACGCTGGCCTCACTTCAGGATCGGGGCGTGCCGCCCCGGTAGCTCAGGACGGCGCTCCCGCCCCAGACGCGGGCCACAATTCTGGAAACGCGTCCTTCCCTGTCGGTGTCGGAATCCCTCATTTCCACCTCTAAGCCTCCCCCTGGTCCTACTGCTCCTCCAATATCTTCCTGCTCCTGCTCGTGCTGCCGCTGGTGTTCCGTCTCTTCCTTCTCCTTCCTCCTCCTCCTCCTCTTCTTCCTCCTCGTGCCAGTCCTGCTCATCCTCCTTCTCAGCCACCACCTCCTCCTCCTCCTGCTAACCCCTCCTCGCGTGCACACAGCTCCTCTTTTCTGACGGCGCATCACACGATGGGAATGTTTGTGCGACCTAGGTCCGTCCGGGCACCCGCCGCCGGACAGGCAACGAATCTCCACGCTACGAGAGGAGGGATGGGAGGGGCACTTTTTTCGTCAGCGGCGAGGCGGCGAACTCCGCTCCAGCGAGAAGCTAGATAGGGGCACTAACTAGCGAATTGGCCGGCGATCAAAGAGGGAGGGGGGGAACGGCCGAGAGGAATAAGAGACGCTCAGACGCCGAAGAGTTCGACGATGAGTAGCCGGGGGGGCTGATGGGAGGGGCACAAGGAAGCTGAAAAAAGGAGAAGCTGGAAAGTCAATCAAGTGGAAGTGGCCAGGGCTGGCAAAACTGGCAGTGGGTCAGAAGAGCCTGAAATGGTAGGGGTGCGGTCACCGGGCCTGGAAAGACACGAGGAAACTGGCCAGGGCTGGTAAGAGTGGAAGGGCTGGCCCCAGTCACTCACGCCAGCTTCCATGTGAGATCACGGACGTGGCGCGTGCGCTCCTTGCAAAACATGCCGCATCAAGTGGCTCGCCAAACTGCGAGGTGTGTAGGGCCAAGCTGGGACCCTCCGCTCCGGCGTCGCTCGAAGAGGAAGAGAACAACGTTCTCCATTGGGTGGCTCGCCCAAAACCGCGAAGTGCAGGACCTCCTCCTCCGCCTCCTCTTCCTCCTCCTCCTCCTTCAACTCTTCCCCTCCTCCTCCTCCTCTTCCCTCCCCAAATCCCTTGTACGCGGAGCTCTATGCCTGGTACGCCGACGGCAGAGGCAGTCCTGGTGCTCATGGACATCAGGGGGAGCTTCTCAACGACTCTCCGCAGCTGCAGCTCATCGCTGGAGCTGTCTCCGAGGGGGTCGTCGCTGGAGCCATCGCCTTTCGCCCACCATCGCACCTCAGCGTGAAGCACCAAGAGGAGGAGGAGGAGGAGGAGGAGGAGGAGGAGGAAGAGGAGGAGGAGGCGGAGGAGGGGTCCTGGTTGACACGGGTCCTCTTGGCCCTGGACCCCCAGGCTTATCCGAGGACCGGTGCTTCCTCCCGAGCCCTCTTGAAGCGCGGAGGGATGCGAGAACCGTGAAGCTGCGCCGAGAGATGCAGAAGCAAGCGGGCCCTCCAGCGGAGAAGAAGACTGCAGTCGAGCATCCTTCTTGTCTTTGATCGGGTCGGGCGAAAGGGGGGGATAGCAAAGGGGGGGGTGAGAATCAGCTCGCGTAGCTGGCGACTGTGTATTGAGGAATGGGCCCCTTCGAGGGGCCGAAACCAGCTGCATGCAGCAAATTTCGTAACCCCCCCTTTCCCAATCCCCCCCTTTCGTCCGGCCCGATTTGAACGCATCCTTGCCCCCACGCGCCCCCCTCCCCAAAGCAACGGGAGAAGGATGTGTTTTGTTGCATATTTCGCAGCAGCGGCCTTCGTCGGCCTCGCCCCCCGTCCCCACTGGCAGCGTCGCGACGCGAGCCGGCGCCGTCCAGGAAGGCCCAGGGATGGCCAAGAAAGCTCGGATAGCAGAAACCTGTGGGATCTCGAAGAGCTCGAATAGTCGAAGAAAGTTCGAACAACTCGAATAGGAATAGCCAAGCAAGCTCGATACCTCGACAGGAACAGCAGGGAAGCTTCGAATATAGCTCGAGGGGCAGAGCGTGCGGCGTGCTGTGGATGCGCGAGGGCCTGCGACGGAGAGCTACGGACAGCTGAGCGCAGCGCCCGGGACTGCGAGGGGATGGGGCCCGGTCCTGCTCCCTCCTCTCCCCTCCCTCCTCTCCTCCCTCCTCTCGTCGTCCTCGTCCCCCTCGCTGAGCTGTAGAATCTTTTCGCGCAGGGACATGCGCACGGAGGAGGGGACCGAAAGGAGCGACGGGGCCGAGGCAGGCGGGGCTGGGCCGAGACGACCCGTCGGATCACACCTCTGTGATCGGTTCGCGCTGTGGGAGAGGAGGGCCTGGGCGCCCCGGGGCCCGGCGGCGGAAGTCGGAAGTGGCCTCGTGATCGTCGCCGTCCCCGCCCCCCCGCCTTCCTCGCCGTCGTGCTCCGCCGATCCGAGAAATCCGCGCGGACCTCCGAGTTGTTATGTTTATGTCACTTGTTGTTCCCCTATTGAGCAGCCCAAGAGGCTGGAGGCACACGCAGTTGGAAGCACATGCGGAACATGCGCAATCCGTTGCTGGATGTGCGTGCGGAGTCCTGGCGTGCTTGGCCACACGAGGGCCGACCCCGGGAAAGACATGTGGCCACACGTGTATCCAGCTCTCGCCCAGGCTGGCCTTCTCGTTTACCTTCTCTTTGCATGCATGGTTGCTTTCTGTCTCCTCTCCTCCTCCTCCTCCTCCTCCTCCTCCTCCTCCTCCTCCTCCTCCTCCTCCTCCTCCTCCTCCTCCTCCTCCTCCTCCTCCTCTCCCTTGCAATACAGGCTGTGCTGTGCTTGTTCTCCCGCCCACGCGCCGGACGGCGTATGGCGTGTGCGCGCGTGCGTGCCCAGGCTGGCCACATCATGTGTATACTTTCCTGGAGAAATAAAGCACAAGACAGAGGTCCCGCTTTGGTAGGCTCGATTGGCCAAGCGTGTTTGGCTAGGAGCATAAGACGAGGATAACGGGAGGAGGATGAGGACAACGACGGCAAGGCAATTCCCCCCCCCCGGGTCCCGAGCACGAATCGACAAACGGAGCGTAATCAAACAGGTCGTTCCGGCCTGGCTCCATCTCCCTTGCACCCTCTCTTCTCCTCACTCCCTTGTTCTGTCTTTGTGTGAAGCACCCTGCAACATGATGAAAAGGACGAGGACAACGAGAGGAGCATGACGACGACGATGGGAGGAAGGAGAAGGAGGAGGGACGAAGGAGGAGCAGGAAGGAGGAGGATGAGGAGGAGGAGGAGGAGGAAGAGGAGGATAACGAGAAGGGAGGCGCTCTGCCGTGGCAGATCCCTCGAGGAATCTGCTATCCGAGCTGCCTTTGGCCAGAACTAGGTTTTCCCAGACGGCGCAGGCGCGAAACGTGGCGCTCCTGGCCTTACTGCTCCCCCCCTGCCCCCGTAACGCGCGTTACCGCCCGGGGAAGAAAAGGCCCTCAAGGCACCTGGGCCGGGGAAGCCGAAAATGTTCTATAGAGATGGCCAGAACCAGAGACTGCAAGGCGCCCTTGCCAAAAAGGTGCCCATCCTTGACGCCGGTGCTGGCTGCCCACAGGTCTTGATTCTTTCATCCAGGGTCCCCATGCAAAGGAGCTCAGGACCACTTCCTGTGGAACGATCTGTCGGTTTTTTGACAGCCCCAGCGCCCTGCGAGGGCCCCATGAAAAGCACCGCGGATGATTTGTTCAACCCGTTGGAGGTCCAAGTGCCGGCCCCGATGGTCCCGTAACGCCCCCTGGAGGCCGAAATACAGGAACGGCGCCGGGATCGCAAGAAACGAAAACCAGGAAGGCACCCTGCTAGCAGCAGAGGAGAAGCGGCGGGGCCAGCAGTAGATCGGCCAGAAGCGAGAGCACGCCCATGCGCACCGTAGTGTACTTTTTTCACAGGATCGCGGCCGTCTTGACCACCATCGTAGCCTTAGGTCGGGCGTGTCCTCCTACAGGCGGTTTTTCGGACGACGAATTCAACATAGTCGGGCCATGCTCCAACATAGACAAAACATGCAAAATACATCGTCCCCTGAGGATTGTATCATACTATTTTTCGATACTCCTCCTGTAGAGGGACACGCCCGACTTAAACGCAGCCGCATCGAGGCGAAACTTATGTTGTTCGCATCCTACTTAAGGACCGCACGCCAAAAAATCCGCCGGCCCCCTTGTGGGGCCACCAGGCTGTAGGCCCGTGATTCGCAGTTTCCTGTACCAGTCGTAGCTTGTAGTTTCCAGTGTTACAGTTCTGCTTCTGGCTGGTTACTGTAACTAGTTGACTCATTGCTGGTTACTGTAACTAGTTGATTGACCGCGCGAGGGGGGGGAGGCCCAAACCGGCTTTTTAGCACCCCCTGGGCGCGTTGTCTGAATTGCTGGGGGGGTTCGAAATCGACACCACTCAAGCAGATCCGCGCGGGGTCAGGGTCCAAAAACACATGGGATTTGCCACATTTCTGAAATTCGGTGCCACCCCTCACGCAGATCCGCGGGGTCAGGGTCCAAAAACACATGGGATTTGCCACATTTCTGAAATTCGGTGCCACCCCTCACGCAGATCCGCGGGGTCAGGGTCCAAAAACACAGGGATTTGCCACATTTCTGAAATTCGGTGCCACCCCTCACGCAGATCCGCGGGGTCAGGGTCCAAAAACACAGGGGATTTGCCACATTTCTGAAATTCGGTGCCACCCCTCACGCAGATCCGCGGGGTCAGGGTCCAAAAACACAGGGGATTTGCCACATTTCTGAAATTCGGTGCCACCCCTCACGCAGATCCGCGGGGTCAGGGTCCAAAAACACAGGGGATTTGCCACATTTCTGAAATTCGGTGCCACCCTTCACGCACATCCATCGCAAGGCGTGGTAACCCAAACTGCGAGAACTCCCTCGGCCCTTTAATCGCAAGGTGTGGTAACCAAGCCCGTAAACCATACACGTCTTACCAATCGCCAGGTGTGGTAACCCCTCTTGTGATCAGTTGGTTTTGCTGATTGCGAATCGGCTTCGCATGAAGTTTCGATACTGCTTCACGACAGCGCCAAGGCCTCATGACTTAGCTCTTCCATGGCCCATTCTCCGAGAGAGGGGGCCGGCGGCAGGGGGCGAAGCCCTTACGGATAATTTCGAGCACCCGGGGAAATGTCAAAAGAGTGTCGAAACAGTGTCGGGCGAGTGCCTCCCAGGGCTCGACACGTGAAAACCTGGGAGTTTCGGTATTTTTCCGGGCGCTCGAAGTTCTTTCTGGTCTTCCAGGCTAAAGTAGGTTGGAGCACCATAAAGCGAAAGCACGGTTCCCCATAACGCATCGCGCGGGAGTCTCGTGCGCAGCGGCTGCCCCCCCCCCCCCCCCTGTGGGACTCCTCTGTGAGGAGGAGGAGGAGGAGGAGGAGGAGGAGAGGAGGAGGAGGGATGAGGAGGAGGAGGAGGAGGAGGAGGAGGAGGTTCTCCCCCAGCCGCGATGGCTGACTCTGTCTCCCCGCCGCGCATCGCCCGCGGCGGCCGCCCCGCGCAGACCGCGCACGGGCCGCGGCTCGGGTGGGCCGCGCCCCTGGGGGCCGCCCACCTCTCCACGCGCGTTTTGCGGAGGCGCGTGGAGCCTTGGGGCCGAGCGCGCCCTCTGTGTGGGGCACGGTCCACCCCCGAGATCCTCAGCACCCCGTGCAGCGCCCCCAGCATGCGTGTGCTGGGCACCCTGCGCGACATGCCTTCCAGGGAAGGTGGCACTAGCTGAATCGTCCAGTCCAGTCCGACTGCACGTCGTGCTGGAAACAGTGGGGAGGAGGAGGGGCAGGATTTCATTTGTTGTGCCACTGTTGGAGCCCTGTGGCGACACGCCACTCGCGAAGGTGAAGAAGGGCTGAGTCAAATAAGAGCTGAATGAGTGCTGCATCCCTACATGCAATGGAGGCCCGACCACAAGACACCTTCCACAATAAACCCAACCCTGAGACCCCGGGACGTCCATTGATCTGTGGTGTGGGAACGTCGCGCTCTCCATCGCAAAACCATCGCAACCCAAGAAGCCCAGGGCACCCTGGAGGCAAGCAGGGTGTTTCTTGGCATGGGCCCCCGCTGTAATCCTCCCTCCTCCTCCGCCTCCCCCCGATTCCCGTCGGAGCCTGCACCGAGAAGCAAAAGCCTACGTCAACATAGCCTACGTCAACATAAACTTCCTGAGAGGCCGCGCGGATCTCTCGGATCGGCGCCGGGCCCTCCCTCCCTGGCGCGCTGTACGCGGCAGGGGGCTGCGCCGGAGGCGCGCCGCCAGGGG